AAGAATCCCGGAGGGGACAACTAAAGATTTTCTCGCTCAATTACTTTTGAATTGGTGAGTGTCAAGTGCCTGACTTGTCGTGTTTACTTGATTTACCTGCTTATATACGTGAATATCACTTGATGAGACGAGTGTGTACTTTATCGCACTCGCTCTCCTTTACTTGAACTTTACTTGTATTAACTTGGTTTTCAAAGTCGATTGAGTGAATCTCGTCGACTAAAATATACCCGTTTTCGTGTGCGTGTCGTGTTGCCATGCATGTCGTGTATGTCGTGCGTGTCTTGTTGTCGGGTGGAGTGAACCTCCTCGACTTATGGAGTGAACCTCCTTGAATTGTTTCTGTTTATTTTTCTCGCTCGAATTGTAAATTACTTGAATATTGGGATTGTTATTTGGACAACGTGCTTGCATGTGTATTTTCTTGGCCTCACGAGCGTTTCGCTCACCCCGTAGATTTGTTTTCCTTAACAGGAATGGATGGAGTGAAACTCGTTGGAACCCTTTGGATGTACTTTTGTATTAGGGTTTCAATTGTAATTGACTAGACATTTTGGCTATTGTATATATTTGGGAATTGATGTATCTTTTGGATCCTGACGTAAGAATTGGATAACGGATGTATTTTGAACACGTGGTACAAGACTTGGATATTCGTTTATGGAAGCGATTTTTCCTTATTAGACTGGTATAAATCGTTATATATTGTTAAGTTTGAATTGATTTGTCTCGAGTCCTGGCGAGAGCTAGGCAGGCGTTCCGCGGATACCCTTGGGTTCGCCCTTGGGAGAAGTAGGGGCGTCACACTTCCCGCACCTCGACAATTCCACACCAGGACCCTTATGGACACTGTGGGGCCCCATTTAGGTTGGGCTCCCCCACCTTCACTAGCTCATTTCCCTGACCCTCAAATTCCAACTTCCTGCACTTCTTTTTTCCACTCTTACTATCATCCTTGTATTCTCCCTCCCTGTCCACATACTTCCTCTTCCCAGCATCCACATCCATTCCAATGACCTCATTACTATCATTGAGGGGCTTTCTCTTCCCCATCTCCTGCACTAACCTTTTCCACGCCTTACTCCCTTTATATTTGCCAGCTGTATTTTCCTTCCCTCTACTCACTTTTATATTATTACCCTCAGCCCCAATACTACCCTGTTGTCCTTCCTGTTTCTGTAATTTCTCAGTGTCCAAGCTTCCATCAATCCACATTATATCCTGCTCCTCACTCGTATCATGAAGTATAGCTATTTCTCCAGACTAGCCCCTGGCTACCTCAGTCCCCCCTTCCTTCCTTTCAAACTCCTCATCCCCCTCTATCGTCCCAACACTATCTATCCTTTGTTCTGAACTGTCCTTTATGCCCCCTTCCCCTTTAACCCCCTGTTCCTTATGTGCTAGTCTCCCCACTTCACCCTCCTTAACCCCAGAAATATCCTGAGCTCCTCCTTCCTCATCCCCCCTCCTCCACCCCTACTGACCTATGACTATCTCCCATTGACCCCCAAGTCAACAAGTATTGACCCGATCCCCTAGTTCCACCCTGACCCATCCCACTGTTCTCCCTCCCTTTTGTTGTCTGTTCTGCAGTTGATTGTCTCTTATGGGGACTTTTAGGCCCACAAGCTTTGAGCCAAACTCCATACTGAGTCTCCTTGTTCAGGTACATGCCTTTATCCTTACAATTCCTTTCATTATGCCCCATACGCCCACAGTAATAGCCCTCTCAATGTCTTCCTTTCATCTGTATGTATTCAGGAAGGGTTTTTTAGCAGAAATCCTCTCAATGCCTTCTAAACTTGTCATACTTTTTTCTAGATTTTTGTATTTATTTTAATACATAAAAAAGTAGTGGATTATAACCCACCTTATCACAAATCAATATTCCCACTATCTCACTCCCACTATCCCACTATGACCTTATCACCAATCAATATTCCCACTATCCCACTATCTTAACTCATCCTACAATTACTCCTACAAATTCTCCCACGTTTTCCACTCCAATTAAGAGTATACTCCAACTATCTCTTAATGACCCTTTTTTTTTAATTCAAAATTGCGTCTTCACATAACACATGAAAATACTTGAAAGCTATCCCATCCTGGTACCAGAACTCCGGTGCTCTTCTTAGTACGCATCATACTTCTTTTCTTAAACCTTCGGCAGACGTCACGAAGCCGGCGGTGACTACCTTTCAGTAAGTGACCCGACTCATTTAGCTATTGATTAGTATTATTGTGTTTTTTCACCTTTGCCCCACTTATCTGCTGTCCCAAATTCAAGTTGTCCTATTATTTAATATATTAAAATTTTTCACTCAAAATTTGTAGGGAACCCATCTAAAGTTTCCTCACCATGGAATATGCCCGCCTACAAGCATTTCAACAACAACTAGATTTCAAACTCGCAAAATTGAATTAATTTTTAATTTCGTCAGAAATCCTTTTGGCAAAATTGCATTCTAGCCTTTCTTTTCTTTATCAACAATGACAATTACAACTACGTGATTCATATATCTAACAATAGCACAATTCAACTCATGGAATAAATAGTTCATTGATTAAAGTACTTAAATGAAAGGTTAGAGTCAAATCCTACTTAACACCAACAAGTAATATATTACAATTAGAAAAAAGAAAATGATTCAAGAGGAGCAAAAAACTCACCAAGCCCCTGACATATGTGCAATCGTCAAGGCACTTTTGAGCATTTAAAACTGCATTCTTTAGTTCAGGTAACCACTTCTCTGTAATTGTTTTCATTTGATTACAATGCAATTCTATTAAATTCTATTGATGCTATTTCTATATTAATTATTATATTTTTTTGGTTAACAGTTCTCATACAATGTATCACTATTTACACATAAAATAAATACATAAACTATTGATTTTAAATTTAATATATATTTTATTTCTAGATCAAAGAAATGAAAAATCTAACTGTCCTCAAGATCGCCAGGCATCCACATCACCAATGATTTTACGTGATCATGGTAAATATACAGTTTCTTATATCGTCATACTCATCTTACATACACACTTTTTAGCTGCACTATCTTGCTAAATCAACTATAGATACAATACAATACAATTGTATTACAATTGTTCGATTACAATACAATTGTATTATATTCTATTGATGCTATTTATAGACAACTTAGCAATTTTATAGATTAGCAATTTATTTTATTTTATAGATTACCAATTACAACATGTACCAAAATATATTTATATAGGGATTACTTCATTAACTATGGGTGCTAATAACAATTCAATTAGTGCGTATTTTTCGTTTGATTACAACACAATTGTATTAAATTCTATTGATACTATTCTATATTAACTATTGTATTTTTTTGTTAACAATTCTCATACAATGATAAAAAGAATTCTCATACAACCGAAAAAAGACGGTTCTTGAATGATATATACATTCTATTATATTTCAAACTATTGTTAAACAGATATTATATTTTAATTTTATTGGTAAAAATTTTTCACCTTTATTTGTTCATCATTTTATTTTTTTTTCTCAATAATGTCAGCACTGTGCATAGCACGGGTATTCCCACTAGTCTATATGTATTGCAGAGAGGGTTTTTAGCAAAGACCTTCTCAGTGGTTTCCAATCTTCTCATTCTTTTTTCTAGAATTTTGTGAATATTTTAATACATAAAATCTAATTAAAAACTTTAAAATAGTGGGTTATAACTAATCCTATCACTAGTCAAATTTAAAATTTAAAACTTTCTCACTATCTCCTTCATAAATCGTTTATAGTTTGTTATTAATACTTTAAGTCCTTTTTACTTCTTAACTAAATAAAATACATTTGTCAAGCCAAATTTCTCAAGGATAATTGATTAGTCTCATTTTAAAATTATTCACCCTATTATATCCTCATCACTTTAGCCCATTTTATTCCTTCATTAAAGAGGATTAATTTATCTAGCCAAATCCTTGAGATAATGTGATTAGTCATATTTTTTAGTTATTCATCCAATTATTTCTTTATCGCTTTCCTTCTGGGTACAATAATCATTTGTCAAAATATTCTAATGATATACTCGATTACTCTTATTTTTTAATAATTCATGTTTCAATTACTAAATCAATTTTCTTGTAGCCTTAAACTTTTTTTTTGTTGTATTTAGCAAGCTGAGGGCACTTACTAGGTTTGCTTTTTATAATTTTTATGTTGGATTTTATTCAATAGGTTTGTTTTTTAAAGTTTTAAAATTTGAATGTTGAATTTATACTCTAACATTAAATTGGAGTATGTAAATAACAATTATGACATTTTATTTGCACTTAGAATAATCTCAATATTAATATCGTGCAAGCATCTAGATGACTTTTCATTTAGAACATGTACACCAAAAAGTATATGTAAAGAAAAATTTATGTATGAATTTTAAATTAATAAAGGTGTATTTAGAAGGTTGCTTTTAGTGGTATTTTAGCAAAATTTTGATAAAAAAGGTTGTATTTCACCAATTTTACATCTGAAAGTTTACTTTTTCTTGATGATTGCAATTCTAGCTTTTTATTTGATTAAAAACGCTTAAAAATGAGGCAGCAGCTTGGAAAAATAATTCTAACTTTTTATATGTCCAAAAACACTTAAAAAGTGAGATAATGAATCCTAAATAGTGAAAACATTAAAAAGATATAACTGTAAGGTTAGGAAAGGTAAATATTAGGGGACAGTTATCAAATTTGATGATTCATGTGAGTCTGGACAAGTTATAATTAGGTTAATATATATATTCCTACTTAGTTAATGGTTAAAAATAGACGAGTCATCAATGAATATAGTTTTATATGGGTTTGGATTATCCAATCACCCATTCACAGCCCACTATCAAATTTTATTTACCTTTTCATCCATATTTTGTTTAGCAACAAAATGGTAAATCATATCAACATATCAACTTGGATAAATTGGATAATATCATGTATCAGTACAGTTACCTATTCCTTTAACATTAATGGCGAACAAAAGGAGCTTATTACACCTTCAAGCTTATCAGGCAAGGAGATCCTCTATCTCCTTACCTGTTTTTGTTATGCTCAGAAGGACTGTCAAGCTTATTACAGAAAGCAAAGCTGGGGAAGGAGTTAACAGGAGTTAAAGTCAGCAGGGGGGCGCCAGTCATCACTCATCTATTCTTTGCTGATGACTCCTTGGTGTTCTGCAAAGCTAGCAAACAAGAAGCTGAGAAACTGATCATGATACTTAAAGAGTATGAAGAGGCAACTGGGCAGTTTATTAACTTGGAAAAGTCATCAGTGTTTTTTAGTAAAAATACAATGCCAGCTGTGAGGAGTGAGGTCTGTCAGGCACTGGGGTCAATTAAACAGGTAGAGCAAGGCAAATACCTTGGACTGCCCATGATTATTACAAAATCTAAGAGCCAGGTTTTTGGATTCATAAGGAACACTATAGACAAGAAACTGCAAGAATGGAAAAATAAGCTTCTGAGCCAGGCAGGGAAAGAGATTATGCTAAAAGCTGTGGCAATGGCCATGCCTACCTACACAATGTCCTGTTTCAGAATGAATTCAAAGCTGTGCAGATAAATAAGCTCGAAAATGGCAGACTATTGGTGGGGTGATATTGATGGTAAGAAAAAGCTTCACTGGATAAGCTGGAAGAAGATGACAGAGGAAAAAAGCAAGGGAGGGATGGGGTTCAAAGATTTGAAGTTGTTTAACAAAGCTCTACTGGCTAAACAAGTTTGGAAGCTGGTCACGCAACCAAATTTGTTAGTTAGTAAAGTGTTAAAAGAAAAGTACTACCCCAAGCAATCTATCTTCAAATGCAAGGTGCCTCAGAATGCATCTTGGATCTGGCAGAGTTTAGCAGATATCAGAAAGGATATGCTAGCAGGAATTAGGAGGAAAATTGGAAACGGGAAAGGAACCAGAATTTGGTGGGATAACTGGATTCCAGATAGTCCTGAAGGAAGACCAACATCAGTTCAACCACAGGGGTGTCAACTGGAGTATGTCTCTGAACTGATCAGGAATAACAGATGGAATAGAGTGCTGGTATTCAAAACTTTCAATCCACAAGATGCTGAGGGAATAATAAGCATACCAATAAGTATGACTGGAATAGATGATAGCTACTGGTGGAAGCACTCTCAAAATGGTCAGTACTCGGTTCAATCTAGATATAAGACTTGGATGAAGGAAACAGAAGTAGAGAGATCAAGAAGGCGGAAAGAAGCTGGAACAAGCTATGAAGGAACCAATCCTAGGATTTGGAATTCATTGTGGCAGCAGAATGTAAGTCAGAAAATGAAAGTTTTTGTTTGGAAATGCCTGCACAATGGTATCCCAGTCAGAGAGACAATCTATACTAGAACAAGGCAAGGGAATCCCATATGTACCGGATGCGGGGAGAAGGAAGAAACAATTGAGCACATGTTGTTCCAATGCAACAAGGTTATGGAAATCTGGAAATTGGCACCAGTACAGTGGGATGGGATAGCACATCTATCAGACTGCTTTACCAAATGGTGGATAGCAATTCAGGAAGCTCAAGACAGTAGAGGTGTTGAGGATCAAGTCAATCTCACCATAAATATACTCTGGCAGATATGGAAAGCTAGGAACGATAGAGAGTTTAACCATAAGGAAAAGGAGCCTTTCAAGGTAATTGAGAAGGCGCTAAAGGAATGGATAGAATTTGAGGAAGCTAACAAAGGGAAAGATTCAAGGAAGAGCACTCAAGAAACAGAGATACAGCAATGGAATGATCAAGATCAAAATGAGAGCCATTCTGGATTGATATTAAAGATTCACACCAGTCAGGACAAAAGGCAAGCAGCAGTAGGGATCGGAATATCAGCAACAGACAACATGGGAAGATTGCAAGCAATCTGGGCACTTAGAGAATGTTCATCAGGCGACACCCTGCAAGACCAGGCTGTTGCAGTTAGGCTAGCTCTACTGAAAGCTGGAAGTCAAGGCTGGAGGAGTATCAGAATGGAACTGGACAACCGCAAGCTGGTAGAGGCCATAAAGGGATCAAGGTTCAACAATCAGCAGATGGCTACATTAATAGAGGACATTAGATCAATCTGCACTTTGTTTCATCAGTGCTCCATCTTTTTTGCCAACTCTAGGAAATTAGAATGTATTAAGCTGAGCATTTATGCTCTAAACATCTGGATAGATGAAGAATGGGTGAATCCCAATCTTAGATGCTAGGCATAAGTGATCTTGTGGGACAACTTGTCCGTTTGATTGGACCTTTGTCCAAATACTGTAAAGTTTACGGATATATATATAAAGCTAACGTTTCGACAAAAAAAAAATCAACATATCAAGTTAATAAATCAATTTTTACCTAAAGAAAGAGAAAAAACATAAAAAAATTGCTCAAAGGAGCCTAAAATGATCATCATAGTGAGTTTCAAATTTTGTCACTATACGACAATCTAAAAATAGTTTAGGTATTAATGCAAACAATCAATTAACATTCACGAAATTTATTAAACTTTTTATGAAAGGAATGAAGGAAGTAGGATAAATTTTAAAAAATAAAATAATAGAAATTAAAGAAGAGGAAAAACGATGAATACATCTTTGCAAAAATTAGAATATAATTATTAGAGTAATTTAGATTTACCCACTAATGATTGAGTTTGAATCTACGTCTAATTTAATTAAGTCAAAATAAGTGATCCAAATATTTCAATTTCATACCCACTAATTAATGGGTTAATTTGGCTACCCATTTGAATCCAATTAAATTACATACGCAAACTCATTTGTTAATAGGCGAGCCAAATAAATAGGTTACCATTTACATTTATGAATAGATGAAAATAATAATAGAATATGAGATAAGCGGGCTGTAAAATTAGATAAGAGATAGGATAATTGAGTGGCAACAAGATAGAGCAAAGAGAAAATAAGATTTAATAAAACGAGAAAGGGTTATAGGGATACAAAAAAAATTGGGTAGGATTTGAAGGAATGACGAAAGATTGTAGGGGTGCGAGAAAATTAGATTCAAAAAGTAGAAAGGAGAGTAGCAAAGAGTAGGAGAAATATCGAGGAGAGAGGAGGTTGAAAGGTCGAAAAAGTGGCACGAAGGGGAAGATATGAGAAAAATGGGTAATAATGTTGTGTTTGACCTATTTCTCCTCATTCTCATATAAATTATAAACCAAAATACTAGTATGATACTGATTAGTGATTAGAAGTTTGTCCAAAGAGGGTGTACAATTAATTGCCTTGAACAATGGTGAGTTCCTCTCTATGCTGTAGTAAAGGTAAAACACAATTCTATGGAGTCCTTTGATCGCAATCATCCAAATCCAAAAATAAATGGACAAACAAATAAGAGGCTCGAGGAACAATTTTTATTAGATTCATATAAATATCATTTCACGGAAGTTGCCGGCTTGTATTCGAAATGCAATGCTTGTTCGTGGTACAAATCTTGTATTCGAAAGAACTGTGTCGAGCCACCTACTCTCAGATTCCACACAACTGCAACTGATGATATATGCCTTTCCAACGCTGGTTTATCATGAGATACGGTATTCCAAAACTCAAACACCTGACTAAGAAATTCCCCGGTATCACAAATTAAAGGGAAATTACTAGTATTTTAGGATAGTATATCAGAAAATCAACAAGAAAAGCATTCTTGAATCTAAGAAAAATTAAAACAGTAGATAACTGAGGTGGATTCACAAATGAAAAAGCAACATAGAATTCAGAATCAGCACAGAGGAACAGTAATATGATATATCCCCAAAATCAAAGATATGGATAGAGTTAAAGCAGGGTTTTCTCCCAACAGGACTCGAGTGACAGTCAATTCATTGACTGACATCAGCACGACATCTACATAATGCTAGTTAGTGATGGTTGTAGCTTAGGCAAGGATTAGAACTTCTGCAGTTTTGGTGTCTTAGTCAACATGAAACACCAAAAATTATCATCCTTCCAGTTTTCATATGCTTGTTTCACTGATATGGGGTGAATAGAAACCCAGGAACTCTGGCATCCCAGCATTAGAACTTCTGCAGTTTTGGTGTCTCCTTCAACGTGAAACCAAGAAAATTATCATCCTTCCAGTTTTCATATGTATGTTTCACTGATATGGGTGAAGAGAAACCCAGAAATTCAGCATCCCCGCATTCAGCAACTTTATTTTCATTCAGTATCATTGGCATTTCTTCCATTTCCAAGCACTTCACAGGGCTGTCTTGCTGAAAATTAAAGACAAAAGTTAGTTATGCCAATAGCTGCATTCATTTGAGGAGGGAAAAGAAAGCGTAGGGTAACAGAAAAAGCTAAGAAGTGTGGTGTGATTGACCTTCTTCAACTCCAATGTTTCCGGAAGCACCAATGAAGATCCTGCTATCAACAGAACGTTAAGCGAATGAAAAGCTTGACTTGTAATTCAAATATTCACATTTAAGACAAAAATGAACACTAAAGCAGATATACCTTTGTCTATTCCAACTGTGTCCAAAAAAAAGCCAAAGTTCATTACGTTTCTCTGTGCTTTTATGCAATCATGATGATTGTGCAGAAAGGCCTCCTCCTTAATGGCACTTTGAATGTTCTCTCCATCTTTGGCACTTAATTTCTGGCCTTGACTCTTCTTAGAAAGATGTTGAACAGATGGCTTTGCAGAGTTGGTAAGGTCACTGAGAGCCTTTCTACCACCTCCTTTCACTTTCTCCGGGGGTGCCTTGGACATATTTGCTTTGCCTGCACCAAGAACTTTTCCTGTAGAAACCACATTTATGGAATTATGCTTTGTTGATGGCTGAAGGGCAGAAGGTTTCCCTGAATTTGATATATCATTAAGTGCTCTTCTTCCACCAAGTGCTCCGTTCTTGGTAGCCCTGTAGGCATCAATCTTTCCTCCAAGAGGAGCTCCTATACATAACAAAGTTAATTAGAAGAAATGATTTCTCTCTAGAGAGTAAAGAGTCATTCAAAGTGAGTGTGTGCAAGATAATGGCACCTGTAGAATGAACGTTCAGATTCTGATCTTGAATCAATCGTCCAGTTGGAGTTGCCATGAGTTGTCAGTTACAGAAACCTAGCAGCACTTCTGCAATTCTAGTGAAAGTTTAAAGCATTAAAGTCGACGTGAAAAGTGATTCTGCATAAACATCATAATTTTTTGTAGTGTTCCAGTACTGCCAAAACCGAGGATTACCAATGCTGATTTGAACATATAAATCAATCAAGTGATTGTACAGTATTAGAGATACGTCAGGCTAAACTGTAACATGGGGCAGCCTATGAACTAAATGGCTACAAACCACAATAACCAAAACAATAGGAAGAAACTGGAGAAGACAAACACAGGACAGACTTGAGAGACACGATACATAAATTTAAACCTTTTGCGAATGCAAATCACAATGTTTTGCAGACACAAAAGATAAGGAAATTTCACAAATATCTAACGAATTCTTAAAATCCCAGGCTCATGTAGCACAATGGGTATATGTCAAATTGAATATACCCTTCGTAAATAATTGTGGCTGGTTCTTGTAAAATGATTCTGAACCAGAATCTATTGCAACAGGAAG